GTTTTAATAATAAAAGCAAAAATTGCGGAAATATTGTTCCATATACGCATTTAAAATTTCCGTTTGCCCCGTTAAACTTTAAATAAAACGCTAACGATTTTTTTAAAATAACGCTTAAACGTTATTGCAATTTCCGCTAAAAATTAAATACAAATTGGGGCCTTTTATTAAATACAATGGTTTTAAAAGTACCGTATTAGCGGTACATTACTAATAAATAAGCATTTGCTAAATTGCTTCCATTAATAATATTGTTGCAGGTAAAAGGGATAAGCACGGTGTAAGGCTATTCCGGTTAATATGCTTTAAGGAAGAAAGGATTTAAAATGCAGGGCCCCGTAAAGGCCTTTGCCCTTTATATACACGTAACTCCCTGTCCTTTTTGCTTATTAAGCTTCCTTTTTAACGTTTGAAAGCGTTATACGCTTCCAAGCAAAAAAACCGCTTTTCCAATGCCTTAAGCATTTAATATTTATGCTTAAAGCTTTTTTATAACAATATATACTGTTTACTTTGTAATATACCCCCCAAGCGAACCTTTTGGGTTGTTTGTAAATAAAATAAAAGGAAATTGGTTGCTATGTTAATAGCGTAAGATTTAAAAGCTTACCGCGCTTTTAAAGGTTAATTGTAAAAGCGCATTAATTTCGAAAAGTAACGAAACAAGCGTTTTTTTTTTTAAAAAGGTAACCGTAAAAACGCATTAGCTTTAAAAAGTAACGAAGCAAGCGTTCCCCGTTGCTAAAAGCAACGAAGCAAATGTTTTAGCTACAAAAAGTAACGAAGCAAATGCTTTAACCATTACCGGGAAAAAATGGGCGTAACAAATTAAAACCTTTTTTTTTCCATTTCGTTCCGGTTTTTTTTTTTCCTTTTTACTACCATTTCCTTTCCAAAGCGTAAATTTTAATTTTTTTGTTCCAACCGTACCAATCTTTTGCTAATATTAAAATATTTGCAAATTTAAATTAAATAATTGTAAATGCTTTGCGCGGCAGCGCGGTATTTTGGAAACGTTGTGCGGTGCTAACAAATTGGCTAAAAAATAAAAACTTTTGGTAATAAAAAAACGCGCGCGGTTGCCCGGAAGCGCTTTTAGCGCGAAAAAAATACGCGGGCTTAAGCTTAAAAGGAATAAATTAAAGCGTTTTGCTTTTTCACTAGCTTTGTTACGCTTTTATTAATTTTGCTTTATGCGCGTATAAAGCGGATTTGCAAGCGGTTATGGCTGTTTTCGCAATTAAAGCTAAGCAAACAAATAAAGCGCTATTTAAAAAAAGGAAAAAAATGCAGCAAACCGAAAAGGAATAGCGGAAAAAAGCATTATTTGCAAGGGAAAATAAGCAAAAAAACCTGGAAAATGCGCGGAAGCAACGGGCTGCCCGCGATAAAGCTTGGAATAACGCTTAAAAGATAAAAGCGCGTGCGTTTGCCAAGCGCGTTAAATTGTATAAAGCTAATCGGGCTTATATTTACGCTAAACGGATGGAAATTTTAAATCGTTTTTTAAATTGGACCCCGATTAATACTTACGTACCCGTTTTCAAACCTTTGCTTGTTTCGGTTACTTTTCGTACGCTTTGTCCAACCGGTACTTTTTGCGTTCCGGTTAAATTAAATAAAAGCTTTAAGCCCAATTGGTTTATTCGTTAAACGATTAAAATTAATTTTAATTTCGATAAATTCGTTAATCGGTTCGTTTAAAAAAATAACGATAATAACGATAAGCCCGTCGTTTCCCCCAATACCCGGAAGCGCAAAGCGGGTAAAAAAACGAAGGTAAATAATTAAATTAATTCGTTCCTAACCGTTTTTGCGGGTTTTATGCTAACCACCCTTTTTTTTTCCGTTTTAATTTTTTAAAAAAATGTTATTTAGCTTTTTTTTCCAGCAAAACCGTTGATTTTTTTTTAACGGGAACGTTTTAATTGGTTTTTTTAATAATACCATTTTCCGCGCGGTTCCATGCAATAAATGCACTAAAAGCTTTTTTATAAAATTTTGGGGCCTTTGCAATAATAAGCCCATAGCGCGCACTTTTTGGAATGGTTATATTTTACGGTATATTTAATGTGTTTAAAACAATTACCGTTGCAACCTTTTCCTTTTTTTGCCCAAATTGCGCATTGAAACCGTTTTATTCCAAAACGAGCTTTTAAACGGCTTTCGCTTTAAAATTAAAAAATTTAAAAAAATGGTAAGTGTTAAAAGCACGGGCGAAACCGCCCGGCAAAAAAAGAAAAAAGGGGCGCTAGCAGCCAACCGGGCACGAACTTTTCCGGAAATATGCCGGCAAGCTACCGGTATTGCGGCCAAAGCATAATAGCAAAGCTAAAAAATAAAATAAAGTTTAAATTGTACGAAAGCGTTTGGAGCGCGAAAAATTTAAAAAACCAACTTTACGTGCTTAAAAAGGTACGAAACAAAGGAAAGTTAAAAAAAAACAATTTTTGTTGGCGATAATACCTTTAGTAAAAAATTTACGGAAATTTAACAAAAAAAATACCGCATTCGGCTTGTAACCCGGTAATTACCCGCTTTTGCACCAATTAACCTTTAACATATTGTTTTTTTTTCCTTTTTTTTATTTAAAAAGCAAGCCCGGGTAATTACCGAAAGGGATTAAGCAAATTTAAAAAAGGCATTTGCAATTTTGCACCGCTTATAATAACGCTCGATGCTACGTCGAACACGTTAAAAAAAGCCGCTAAACCATTAAAACAAAATACCAAAAAAGCCCCGCAAATTTCCAACAATTTCGAAAACCTTTTTGTAAAAAGTTGCAAAAAATAAATAACGCGCTAAAAGCTTAAAGCAAGCGCGCCCGTTTAATTTAAAAAATCCAAAATAAAGGGTTAAAGCATGCGCATAAAAGCTTAAACGAAAATAAAAAAAATACCTTTAAATAACGCAAAGGTTTTACGTAAAATAAAATTATTTTTAAGCTTTTTATATTTAAAAAATCGGTAATTTGGCAAAATATTGCCCATTATATTAGCAATTACGAATTTATTTTCGAAAAGGAAAAAAAACGTTACGGTAAAACCCGTATAAAGGTTTAAATAGCTTCCAACACTTTTAACCATTATTAACGGGCATAATAAACAAAATATAAATAAATGCATTATTTAAATACCGGGGTATTGCTTATTTAAGCCAATTTTTTGCGGTAGCTTTAAGCAAAATCGAAAAATCCCGATTTGCAAATGTAGCTAGCAATTAAAAAGTTTGCGAAAAATACCGTTATTAAACAAAAGGATTACGAATTATTTAAAACGTTCCGGATTTGTTAAAATTTGGTAAAGGATAACCTTTTTAAATTAGCACCCAAATAAATAAAAATAATATTGCTTTTTAACCGGTTTCGCCCCGAAATCCAAAAACGGGTAATATTTAAAAGCTTTTTTTACATTATGGAAAAATTGCAAGCCAAAATTTTTAAAGCAAAAATAATATCGGAACCGTATAAAGGGATACCGGGGGATACCGGTGCTTTAACCGTTAAAAAGCCGGTTATTTGCTTTAAATGCGGGCAATTAAACTATATTGCTGCAATATGCAAAATACGAACGGATAACCCGGAAACCCCGTTAACCCCAATAATTATACAAAAGGCAAAGGGAAAAAAGCCCAAAGTACGGTGTTACGGGTGTGGGGAATTAAACCATATCCGGCCGGCATGCTTTAAAAAAAGCAAAATATTGCTATTTAATTCGATACCGCTATTTAACCGTTTAAGTACCGGGGTTTAAAAATGCGCTTTAACGGTTAAAACGCGTTGGAAAACCAAAATGTATTTACGGATTAACGGTTGCCGGGTAAAGTTAAAAGCGTTAGTTAATAATAAAAATAACGTTAATTTATTGCACAACCGTTTTTTAATAAAAGCAAAAAAAATACCGGTGCCAAACGGGGGCTATTTAGCGTAATTCGATACCAAAAAGCGCATGCTTACATAAAGGAAAAAAAATGCAAAATCCAAACAACGGATAATTAAAAAATAATCCGAAAGTTAATGGTATTTTACGTAATAATGCCCCGGGCCGGGTATAACATTACGTTAAGCATGTATTAAAAGTTAATCGGTGCAAAAGCGGGTGGTTACCGGGTTACGGGCCGGATGCGGTGTTTTTTTTATTAAGCTTCCGTAAATTTTTTACCAAAAGTGCTATCGCCAACAAAAATTGTTCTTTTTTTAATTTCCCTTTCCTTTATGCCCTTTCGGGCACGCGGGGTCGGTTTTATAAATTTTTTGCGCTTTATGCGCTTTCGTACAATTTAAGCTTTACTTTATTTTTTAACTTTACCGTTATGCTTTAACCGCAATACCGGTAATTTGCCGGCATATTTTTAGGAAAATTCGTACTTAGTTAATTATTAACGCCCTTTTTTTCCTTTTTTGCCGGGCGGTTTTGCCCGTACATTTAACGCTTTCCGCTTTTTACCGGGCGGTTTCGCCCGTAGTTTTAATATATTGCCTTTTCCCGATACGGTTTATTCCAAACCGTTTGTACCGCGCGTGCAACCCCGTAAGTAACCGGTAATTTACGGTATCCCGCTAAGCCGCTTTAATGCCCGGCAACGCTTAAGGAAACCGGTTGTAAAGCTTTATAGCATTCGGAAAAATGGGTTCGTACCGGCATATAAAAAGCTTTTTTTCTTTTTTTGCGGCCGCGGGCTTTTTTTTTTTTTTGCGCTTTTAATAATTATTCCAACAATTTTAACAATTGTAACCGTAAGTAATTGGTATTTAACCGCTTTTTTTAAATATTTAAACCTAACCGGTAATTGCAAATGCTATCCTTTGTACCCAATTACGTAAAGAAAGTAATGTTTTTTCGGGTATTTGCTTCGGGTTTTTCGGTTTAAACTAACCCATTAGCCCTTTTAGCCCCCCGGTTCCCCAAGCCCCGGTTTAATGCTTTTTTAATAATTTTCCGGTATTTTCTTTAATTATTGTGGTTTAATTAAACCCGAATTTGGATTTGCCAAAGCTTTTAATTTTTTAAATCTTTAACAATTGCTTTGCCGGTAACTTTCCGGTAAGCCTTTTAAATGCCGCGGGTTTATTAAGCCCTTTTGCGCTTGTAACCCTTTAAAACCTCCGCAAGCGTTTTGCCGGTAACCCCCCGGCGGGCTTTAACCGCTGCGGCAAAAAGATTTTCACCGAAAAAAAGCGTAAAACGCGCAACGAGCGCCGCCGCAACGCTTTCGATTCGAATAAATTTGCCCCCGAAACGGACATTGCTTCCTTTTCGCTTTATATAGGTATTTATAACGCGTTCCCGTTGCAAAAAGTTATCGATTTCCAATAAAGCGGTAATTAAAACCTTATTTATTTGCTTTTTTTTAAAAATAATTATACGAAGCGTACGGTATTTTATAACCGCTATTTTGGTTGTTAAGCATATTAAAATTATGCTATCGACCTTTGTGTACCAATATGCTTCGATAATTATACGGGGTTTTTTAAATGCATTTATTGCAAAAACGTAATTAATAACAAAGCTTGCATTAAATTTCCCAAATGGTTTTAGGAAATGGCCCAAAACCTTTACAAAATTTTAAATACCGTTTATAAGCAATTCTTTAAAGCAATACCGGAATTTTTCGAAAAACTTATTAAAGCCCAATTTCGCGCTCGCAAAATTATCCAAAAAGCCAAATCTTTCCATACTATATTAACCGAGCAATTTGCGCGTTACAAGCGTTAAACCGTTATTTAAAAGCGCATCCAGCGCAAAATTGCTAGCGTTGCAATATTAAAAGCTATTTAAAACATTTCCCAATAACTTTGCGCTATTGCCGTTTAAACGAAAAAGTAAGCTTAAATTTCGGTTAGCATTAATAACTTTTTTAAAAAGGTAAAGGCGTTTTTAAACGTTTCGAAAAAGGTATAATTGCTTTTTTTAATAACATTATCGTTAGCTTTGCTACGATTGCGGCGCATTTAAATATTTAAATTTATAACCGCGCGGTTTCCCGTAAAAGTGCAACGTTCGTATCGGCGCCAAAAGGTACCGCTTTTAACGCTAACGATTTTAACGGCAACAATTTTAACGCTAGCAAAAAAAACGTAATTTCCGGAAATTTTGGTTTTTTTAAATACGGCATTTAATCGATTTTTTTTACATATTTATTTAATTAATTATTAATATTCCTTTTTCGAAAAATGGTTAATTTTAAAAAAAATTCGTTAATTTATTATAATTAAAATTATAATTTCCTTTTGTTATATTGCTTTTGCAGCATTGCAAAATTCCAATATTTTTAATTACTAATTAAATTTTAATGCTTTAATAAATAATTTTATAATGCTTTTTTTTCGCCCTTTAATAAGTTTAAATACCGCCAATATGCATTTGCCGTTACCCAAACGCTTAAGCCCGTTTGCCGTATTATTTAAAAAATTTTCCATTTTTTTTTCGGGCAAGCAATAATATTTTTTACCATAACGTACGTTTAAAATGCGGTAATTGCTTTAACGTATTGCGCCAAGCATGCCTTTTACGGGCTTTCCAAAATATATTACATTTTGCATATTTTTTAAAATTTAAATGTATTGCACCATTAATTTAAAGCGTTTTTCGTACTATACCATTTTTATTTAACTTTTTATTTATAAAGTACAATATTTTACGGTTATTACAAACCGTTTACAAATTTTTTTACGTTTTTCCCCGGTAACCAACCGGTTTGGCACGTTTAAAACATTCCTTTAAGCCATTTTTTTAGCTTTTATTATTTTTTTTTATAATACCCCCGTTTTTTCCGGGTATTTCCCCGTTAAAATACGGTATTTTCCTTATTTTGTAAGCTTATTTCCAATAAATTTGCTTTATACGTTTAAACAATTTTTTTTGTAATATCCCTTTTTAAAATTTACAAATTTTCCGATTCGTTGTAATTTATTTATTTAACCAAATATTTTCGTTTCCGCAAAAGCCCTTTGTATTCCAGCAAAGCCTTTATTTCGAAACAATCCTTTTCTTTTTTTTTAATTTTTGGTTTTTTATTTTTTGGTTTTTTGCCGGGCCTTTTTTTAAACGCCCGTAATAAATTTGCCGGAAATACGTTATATATTTGGTAATTTACCGAAAGCTTTAACCGGAACGCTAAACCGGCTAACCCAATTATTTTTAGGATTTGGAAAGGTTTTAACCATTTGTTCGATAGCTTTTTTAATAACCTTTTTATTTTAATATTTGCCGTATTTAGCAATACCCAATTGCTTACCCCAAAAAGCACCGGGGTTTTGCTTTTATTATAATACTTTTTGTACGTATTATTCGCTTTTTTTAGCAATTTTTTGGTTTGCTTTTTAATTGCTTCCAAAACCCCCGCTTTAGTTTTAACCGTTGCTAAAGGTTTTTTTTTAATTACCCGAAAGTTATAAAGCTTTCGTAGGTAAAACTTTATTAGCAAAAACGCCGGGGTTTTTTGCAACCCCAAATGCACGCTCGTATTATGCACTTACGTTGCTAAATGCAATAACAACGTTTAATTATTTTGCTTTTTGCAGCAAAAGCACCGAAAGTAATGCTTTATTATTTGGTTCGTTCGCTTCGTTTGCCCGTTGGTTTAAAAGTAATATGCTATCGATAGTTTTTTTGCAATTTTTAAATATCCGGCAAAAATTATTTAAAACCCGTTTATAAATAGCTTATTCCGGTTTAATACAATCCTTTCGGGCGTTTTTAACAACCTTTAAACGTATATAAATAAAAAGCTTTCCAATTTTTTATTGGTTAATTTCGTAAACGTTGGAATAAAAAAGCTATATTTAATAAACCGGTTAACCATTACCAATATTGCGTTGCGCTTTTTGCCGGTTTTATTTATTAACGTTAAAAACTTTTTAATAAAATCCATTAATAGCTTTTGTTCCGGGCGGTTTAATACGGGCAAAAATGTTAGCAACCCGTAAAATGCTTGTATTTTTGGTTTTATTTGCTGGTATATTTAATACGTTTTCACGTATTTACGTACGTTTTTAGCCATACCCGGCTATTTAAATTGCCGTTTAAACTTTTTTAAAATTTTGGCCATGCTTTTGTAACTTTTTGTTGGGTTATTATGTTGTTTTTAAAGCATTGCCCGTTGCAACGGCGTTAAATTTGGAATTTAAACTTTTTTTTATATTTAAGCAAGTTATTGCTAATTTTTTAAACGTTAGGCTTGTTTTTTTAAATGCCGCTTTAAACGAAATCGTTTTTTATTTATATTTCGAAAATGCGTTTTAACATCGTTTTGGTATCCTTTTTAATAGTAATTATCCTTACGTAAGCTGCTTTTTGGAATTTAGCTAATAAATTGCTTCGGAATTTTTCCTTTGCTATATTGGCTTTCCCGTTTACAAGCATATTTTGGAAACGTTTTAACAAGTTATTTGCGGGGTTCCGGTATTTTAGCTTTTATTTAATCGTAAAGTTATACTTTGCTAAATTTTTAAACCATTTTACTTAACGCTTTATTACCTTTTCCTTTGTTAAAATATGGATGTAATTTAAGTAATTAATAATTATTTTAACAATTTTTTGTAAATAAGCCAAATAATGCCGTTACTTTTTAAAAGCTTTTACGATTGCTAGCAATTTTAAATTAGGAATTGCATAACGCAACTTTTTTTATTGCAATTTTTTTAACATGTAAATTACCGGGTGCTACCGGCCGTTTTGCAATTGCAATAGCACCGCTTTTATTGCAAAAGCCAAAGCGTTAATCCGTACGTATAACGGTTTCGAAAGGTTAAAATGCACTAATACTAAAGCTTTTATAAATAGCAGTTTTAATTTGCAAAAAGCCTTTTTCGCAACATTTCCTAAGTAAAACACGGTATTTTTGCTAAAAAAATCCGTTAAAAGCACAGTAATTTTCGCGTAACCCTTTACGAATTTCCGATAATACCCCGTAAAATTTAAAAATACTTAAATATTTTTAACGCTTTCCGGTATTTTTTACTTTAAAATTGTAACAATTTTATCCGGCAAAATTTCGACCTCGAATTTGGTTATTTTAAATTTTAAAAAATTAATATTATCCGTTTTAAATTTGCATTTGGTTGGGTTAACGTAAAATTTAAACCGTTTAAATTGTTCCAATACCGTTTTTATTGCTTTGCGGTGCTTTTTTTGTATTTTTAAAAAAATAAAAATGTTATTTAAATATATAATGCAATTAATATTAATTAATTTTCCAAGCGCTATATTAATAAAGCTTTAAAACGTTATTAAAGCGTTAGCCAAATTAAATAGCATTACTAAATATTTGTAATGTCCATATTTGCAACGAAAAGCAATTTTTTATTCGTTTTTTTATCGGATTTGTATTTTGTAATAAGCGTTTTTTAAATCCAATTTGGTAAAGTATTAACTTTTAAATACCCGATTAAATATTTTATAAATTAACGGAAATGCTAACTGGTTTTTTTTAGTAACTTTGTTAAAATTTCGATAATTAATACAAAAGCAAAACTTTCCGTCTTTTTTTAAAACGAATAAAATTCCGGCGTTAACGGGGTTAATTAAATGCCGGATCCAACCTTTTGCTATAATTTCGTTAAAATATCCCCGGAAAATTTTTAATTCCTTTTCGGATAAAAAATAAATGCTTTCGTAAAGCGGCATTGTTTTTTTTTAAATTTAATTGCGTAATTTTAGCTTGTATGTTTTAGCAAAAGGTTCGATTTATAAAGCTGCGCATATTTTGCAACTATTTTTTAACCCATTCCGGAAAAGCTTTTAACTTTTTCCCGGAATTTTCCGGGGTTTCCAAACGTGCAACCGTTAATACGGCTATCGCTTATTTTAATTAAATTAATTCCTTAATTATTTCCAACGAAATTATTTTAACTTTTTTAGTAATTACCGGAAATTTTTACTTTATATTTCCAAACCGGATTTTAATATTTTTTTGCTGGAATTAAAGCATGCTTAACGTAATGTTGTACTTAACCCGAAGCATTATTACGTAAAATACCATTAACTTTTGGGTTATTTTTTAATTATTCGTTACTTAAATTTTGTATTTTTTTATTTTTAGCGTAAACATGCGTTTTTTGGTATCGAATTACGTTAAGTAACCCCCGTTTAGCACCGGTATTTTTTTTGCTTCCACCAAAAAACGGTTATGCAGCAAATTAACGTTATTCCCGTTATTAATTAGCGCTTTTAACTTTACCCGGCAACCGTTAATTTGTAAATACATTTTGGTTTTCCAGCGCGTTTTAGCCACCGGGGCGCATTTTTAAGCCCCGGTGCTTAAACGGCCAAATAGCGGTATCGAATTGGATAGCAATATTTTGCTTTTTTTAAAGCACGCTGGCCGGATATAACCTAGCTTTTTATACCCGTAACACCGTATTTCGGGCTTTTTCCCTTTCGCTTTTTATATGGTTGTTAAAGCCAACGGGGTTTCCGGGTTATCCGTTCGTATTTTGCATATTGCAACGATATAGCCCAATTGCCCGCATTTAAAGCAAATAACCGGCTTTTTAGCAATTAAAATACCGGTATCCCTTAGCATCCCTTTGTGCGGTTCCAATATTATTTTTGCTTTAAAAGCTTTGGTTTGCAATTTTTTCATAATGTAAAAAAAGCTTTTAAGTATTACCCGTTTTTAAATTTCGGGGCGTAACCGGTTAAAAAGCAATGTTATCCTTATCCATTTAAATGTTAATTTAAAAAGGTTATTTTTTATTAAATTCCAACGAATCCGAAACGCTTTAAACAATTTGTGCTTTTTTTGCTTAATAGCAATATTTCCCGCAAGCTTTTTAATTGCTTGCTATATCCGCAAATTGGGATTTTTCGATTTTGCTTAAAGCTACTGCAAAAAATCGGTTTAAATAAGCAATACCCCGGTATTTAAATAATGCATTTGCTTATATTTTATTTATTGCGCCCGTTAACAATGGTTAAAAGTGCTGGAAGCTATTTAAACCTTTATACGGTTTTTACCGTAACGTTCCCTTTTGCTTTCGAAAATAAACTTGTAATTGCTAATATAATGGGCAATATTTTGCTAAATTGCCAATTTTTTAAACATAAAAAATTTAAAAGTAATTTTGTTTTACGTAAAACTTTCCCGTTATTTAAAAGTATTTTTTTTATTTTCGTTTAAACCTTTATGCGTATGCTTTAACCTTTTGTTTTGGATTTTTTAAATTAAGCAAGCACGTTTGCTTTGGGCTTTTAGCGCATTGTTTATTTTTTGCAACTTTTCCACGGAAAGGTTTTCGAAATTGTTAAAAATTTGCGGGCCTTTTTTGGTATTTTATTTTAATGGTTTAACGGCTTTTTCCAACGTGTTTAACGTAACGTTAAACGTTATTATAAGCGGTACGAAATCGCAAATGCCCTTTTCAAATTTGCTCGATCCCTTTTAGTAATTACCCGGGCTTATTTTTTAAATAAAAAAAGTATAAAAAAAGGAACAATATATTAAAGGTTAATTAATGCAAAAGCGGGTGGTTACCGGGTTACGGGCCGGATACGGTATTTTTTTTATTAAATTTCCGTAAATTTTTTACCAAAAGTGCTATCGCCAATAAAAATTATTCCTTTTTTAACTTTCTTTTTTTTCGTACCTTTTCGAATACGCGGGGTTAATTTTATAAATTTTTCGCGTTCCATGCGCTTTTGTACAATTTAAACTTTATTTTATTTTTTAACTTTATCGTTATGCTTTGGCCGCAATACCGGTAATTTGCCGGCATATTTCCGGGGGGGTTTGTGCCCGGCTAGCTGCTAGCGCCCCCTTTTTCTTTTTTTGCCGGGCGGTTTTGCCCGTGCATTTAACGCTCCCCGCTTTTTGCCGGGCGGTTTCGCCCGTGGTTTTAACAGCATGCTTTAATTCCAGCAAAAAAACATTAAAATCCGGTTTAAAAATATAAAATGGAAATTCCCGGTAATTATTAAAAAAATTAAAAAAATTTTATTGGAAATAACCAAAAAGCTAATCCAATTAAGACAAGCGATAACCGTGCTAACGGTTACACGTTTGGAAACCCCGGAAAACCCCGGAAAAAAGCCAAAAGCTTTTTTAAAATAGGTTAAAAAAATGATTGCAAAATATGCGCAGCTTTATAAATTAAACCTTTTGCTAAAATATATAAGCTAAAATTACGCAATTAAATTGGAAAAAAAACGATGCCGCTTTACGAAAGCATTTATCCTTTATCCGAAAAAAAATTAAAAACCTTTCGGGGATATTTCGACGAAGCTATAACGAAAAGTTGGATTTGGCATTTAACCAATCCCGCCGGCGCCGGGATTTTATTTATTTTAAAAAAGGATAAAAAGCTTCGTTTTTATATCGATTACCGAAATTTTAATAAAATTACCAAAAAAAACCGGCTAGCATTTTCGTTAATTTATAAAATATTTAACCGGGTGTTTAAAAACCAATACTTTATTAAATTGAATTTAAAAAACGCTTATTACCGGATTCGAATCCGGAAAAGGAACGAATGGAAAACCGCTTTCCGTTGCAAATACAAACATTACAAATATTTAATAATGCCTTTCGGTTTGGCCAACGCTTTAGCAACGTTTTAAAGCTTTATTAATATAGCGTTTAAAAAATTAATTAATAACAATTGCATTGTATATTTGGATAATATTTTTATTTTTTCGAAAATATAAAAAAAGCACCGCAAAATAATAAAAACGGTACTAAAGCAATTTAAACGGTTTAAACTTTACGTTAACCCAGTTAAATGCAAATTCGAAACGGATAGTATCGATTTTTAAGGTTTAAAATAACCAAATTCGGGATCGAAATTTTGCCAAACAAAATTGCTACAATTTTAAAATGGAAAATACCGGAAAGCGTTAAAAATATCCAGGTAATTTTGGGCTTTACGGGGTATTATCGGAAATTTGTAAAAGGTTACGCAAAAATTATTATGCTTTTAACGGACCTTTTTAGCAAAAATACCGTATTTTACTTAAAAAATGTTGCGAAAAAAGCTTTTTGCAAATTAAAATTGCTATTTACAAAAGCTTTAATATTAATGCATTTTAACCTTTTAAAATTGCTATGCGTACAAATTAACGCTTTGGCTTTTGCAATAAAAACGGTGCTATTGCAATTGCAAAACGGCCGGTAATACCCGGTAATTTACATATCGAAAAAGCTGCAACAAAAAAAACTGCGCTATGCAATTTTTAATTTAAAATTGCTAGCAATCGTAAAAGCTTTTAAAAAGTAAGGGCATTATTTGGTTTATTTACAAAAAATTGTTAAAATAATTACCGATTATTTAAATTATACCTATATAATAACGAAAAAAAAGTAACAAAATGCTAAACAAAATGGTTCGAAAATTTAGCAAAATACAATTTTACAATTAAATAAAAACCGGAATACCGGAATTCCGCGGATAAATTATTAAAACGCTTTTAAAATATGCTTGCAAATAGCAAAGCTAATATAGCGAAAAAGGAATTCCGGGGCAATTTATTGGCCAAATTTAAAGTAATAGCTTAAATTAAAATAACCATTACTAACAAAAATACCAAAACAACATTGCAACGTATTTTTAAAGCATAAAAAGCAAACGATTTCGTTTAAAGCAACATTTAAAAAAATAAACCTAACGTTTAAAAAGCTAAAAATGGCTTGCTGCGGCATAAAAAGAAAATTTAAATTCCGAATTTAGCATTGCTTAAACGGATAATGCTTTAGGAATAATACAATAGCTTAACGGCGGGTTACAAAGGGATAATTAAAACTTTAAAAAGGTTTAAACGGCAATTTAAATGGCCGGATATAGCTAAAAACGTACGCAAATACGTACGAACGTATTAAATATGCCAGCAAACAAAGTTAAAAATATAAGCATTTTATAAATTGCTAGCATTTTTGCCCGTACCAAACCGCCCGGAACAAAAGCTATCGATAAATTTTATCGGAAAATTTTTAACGTTAGTAAATGGAATTGGCAAAAAACGCAATGCAATATTGGTAATAATTAACCGGTTTATTAAATATAGCTTTTTTATTTTAACGTTTACGAAATTAACCAGCGAAAAATTAAAAAACCTTTTATTTGCATACGTTTAAAAGCTATTAAAAACGCTTAAAAGGATTGTATCGAACCGAAATAAGCTATTTACAAACGGGTTTTAAATAATTTTTGCCGAACATTTAAAGGTTGCAAAAAAGTTATCGATAGCATATTATTTTTAAACCAACGAGCAAACGGAACGAACGAACCAAGCAACAAAGCATTACTTCCAGCATTTTTGTTACGAAAAGCAAAATAATTGGGCGTTGCTATTGCATTTAGCAGCGTAAATGCATAATATAAGCGTGCATTTGGGGTTGCAAAAAATTCCGGCGTTTTTGCTAATAAAGTTTTACTTACGAAAGCTTTATAACCTTTAAATAATTAAAAAAAAACCTTTGGTAACGGCCGAAATTAAAGCGGGGGCTTTGGAAATAATTAGGAAACAAACTAAAAAATTGCTAAAAAAAGCAAATAATACGTATAAAAAGTATTATAATAAAAGCAAAACCCCGGTGCTTTTTGGGGTAAGCAATTGGGTATTGCTAAATACGGCAAATATTAAAATAAAAAGGTTATTAAAAAAGCTATCGAACAAATGGTTAAAACCTTTCCAAATCCTAAAAATAATTGGGTTAGCCGGTTTAGCGTTCCGGTTAAAATTTCCGGTAAATTACCGGATATACAACGTATTTTTTGCAAATTTGTTACGGGCGTTTAAAAAAAAGCCCAACAAAAAACCAAAAAATAAAAAACCAAAAATCGAAAAAAAAGGATTGCTTTAAAGTAAAAGCTTTGTTAAAATATAAAGGGCTTTTGCAAAAACGAAAATATTTAATTAAATGGATAAGTTATAACAAATCGGAAAATTCGTAAATTCCAAAAAGGAATATTACGAAAAAAATTGTTTAAGCGTATAAAGCTAGCTTATTAAAAGCAAGCTTATAAAATAAGGAAAATACCGGACTTTAACGGGTAAATACCCGGAAAAAACGGGGGTATTACAAAAAAAAAAATAAAAACTAAAAAAATAACCCAAAAAAATGTTTTAAACGTGCCGAACCGGCTGGTTACCGGGGAAAAACGTAAAAAAACCCGTAAACGGTTTGTAATAACCGTAAAATATCGTACCTTATAAATAAAAAATTAAATAAAAACGGTATAATACGGGAAACGCCCCAAATTAATAATGCAATACATTTAAATTCCAAAAAATATGTAAAGTGTAACATATTTCGGAAAGCTTTAAAAAAGGATATTTAGCGCGATACGCTAAAGCAATTATTACATTTTAAACGTACGTTATAGTAAAAAATACCATTGCTTGCCCGAAAAGGAAGTAAAAAAATTTCCAAATGGTACGGCGAACGGGTTTAAACGTTTGGGTAACGGTAAATGCATATCGGCGGTATTTAAACCCATTAAAGGGTAAAAAAAAACATTTTAAAATTATTTATTAAAGCATTAAAACTTAATTGGTAAATATGGATACCGAAAATTTTCGCAATGCTGC